CACAGGAAGAAGGAAGGGATTTTTCTTCATGATATATAAAGGTAAGGGTTTTTTTTGGAGTGAGAGGCTGATGGATCAAAGATTGGCTTATTTAGCATCTTCCTAACAACTGAAACATTTTTATGGAGCAGTCAGACACTTGCTACAGTTACAAACTTCCATCATTTTTTTTTTTTTTTGTGCAAGAGAACCACAGAGTTATGCCTGGCAACCGAGGGCAAAGATTTCTGCCAAGTCATTATTATGTGACTACAGAAGTTACTGAATTTTTTGTACAAGGAAGAGACTAGACTAGCACTTATTTCAGGAAGCTGTGCCACAGGAACAACCTTTTAGTGCTTTGAAGCATGAGCAACAGAAGAAGTGGCTTGAAGAGTTGGACAAACAGAAGGAAGAAGCTAAGCTACAAAAAACAGAAGAAAAACTTGATTTATCAGAGGTATCTGTGATTTACAGGGACTTTTTGGAATAAGAGAAGTTTTTCTCCACATTTTTGTTATTAGAAATAAAATCCGACATTTTAGACTTAACGGAGTAGCAACAAAGATGTGATTATCTGGAGCATGTCCAGGTTTTCACTATCACTCCATGAACAGTCTAATCAAACATTCAGGTATTGTTCCGGTATTGTAGTGGCAGAGAACAGACTACATGTGTCTCACGTGATGTGTCACAGTGCTTGCTGCAGAGATGAAGGCAATGATACTGCTATATTTTTTTTTCTTTCTCACCACTGAGCAAAAGAACTGGGGTTTGGAAGGCGCTGTAGAGACAATGACCACACACTTTTTAAAAGGAAATTTTCTGTAGATTACAGAAAGAGATAAGAGAAGAAAAGTTACAGACAACTGCAGTGTGTCACAGTGGTGTTCAAATCCTGTTTCTAGAAATAGTATTTTAATACACATACATTCATACAAAACCTTTTTAAATGCTTCTCCAAAAAGGATTGAAGAAAATAGCGTTACCTTTTTAACGCTTTGGTTTTTCATAGCAGTTGAATGTAAGTCTTTTATGCTGGATTTAGAAAGAAACAGTGGCAAATGTAGTTGCTTTGCAGGTAGAATACCTGAAGAGACTTTTATTACTGTCACTGTTGGCCAATTTGGTCAATTTAGCTTTTAGCCCTGGAGGTTTTTCATATAGAAGCTGACTTTTTTCCTTTATATGTTCCTACTTCTACTAGTAGTTTCAAGATAAGTTGAATACTTTGCTTTCTTACATAGGCTGATACTGACACACTCTGCCAAAGACTTTGTCTTTTGAAGTGAAGAAACATGCAGTGAGATTTTACTAGTGCTGGAATACAGATTTCCAAATTACTGTATGCAGCTTTAACCCAGGATTATATCTTTCAGCATGCAGTAGATGTATTCACCCCGTGAGATGTTCTGTATCATTAGTGAACAGGAATCTTGGTTACCAAAATTTCATTGATATGAGTGTTCATAGCCTGTGGCCTTTTGAATTAAAAGGCTACATTTTTTACTCTCAAATAAAGCATGAGAGTAAATTGTGTATAGTTAGACAATTCCTAGAGAAATTCTTCATTAATTCCATAGTTAGTAATACTAGAAGAGAGCTTTCCTACCCACCCTCCAAAAACAACCCTTGTTGCCAAGGCAGGTTACACACAATTTCCTGAATTGTAGAATGGATCAAATTTCCTTTGCAAATTGAGTTTGTTTAAACTGTGAAAGGAATACAGCTGTGAAAGGTTCCTTCATTAGCCACTTCGGTTTTTAGTTTGATAGATGTGCTGTGGGAAGATGGTTGCAGTCACCAGTTAGTAACCTAACAGTAATCTTCCTTCCAGCCTCTTTTTGAAAGGAAGTTAACATGCACTTAATCTCATTTTCTCTACATCTTTTGTTTTTAGGTCTTGTGTTATACCTCAACCTTTCTGCATACTGCACCGCAGATGTGCATAAATTTTCCAACTACTCTGATCTGCTTACACACTACAAAGTTCAAAGGGAACAAAACTCAGGGAACAGGAGGAAGAATAATTTGGATTCTTATTGTATGGACTATGATTTTCCTGGTTTTTTTTTTTAAATAGGTGTGAAACTTTTCTGACACAAGGGGATTTTTGTTTAAGGCCTCACAGAAAGTTTATTATATCAGGTTATGTTATTTTTTTAACCTGCAGAATACAAGTTCTGAGGCAGCCATTCTCCAGTCCTTCCAGGGAAACTGTTCTTTTAGTCAAGAGAAAACAGTACCTATAGCATAAACAAAGGCCCTTAGGTAAAAATCTTTTACTAGTGATATATTGGAATGTTCCAGTGGCCAACACTGAGATAAAAAATAAGCCTGGGTGGTGGAGAAGACAGACTTGAACCTAGTATGTCACCTCTACAGAAGTTTTAGGTACAGTGCTAGGGTACAGTGGTGGCTGCTGTGGATGGGAGAGATTTTGAAAGAAGGCGTATTTTATAACAGGCCTGTCTAGCTAAAAATAGGAATTTGGAGATTAATATCTCTGCCCAAAGCACATTAATTCTGCTACTGTCCAGAATTAAAATGGAGGGATAAATGTAGGACAGTGTAAGAGATGCTGCTTGCTCATGTTGCTAGAGAGTATGCACACAACAGGAGGAGAGCATGGCAGGGTGGACAGGGAATTGATCTCTCAATCAAGCAGTTCCCAGTAATATTAGAAAAATTGTGGAATGGAATAGTAATATAAATTTGAAAAAAAAAAAAAACAAAACAACAGTACAAAAAAAAACTGAATACATGTTAAATTTTTTATTTAAAAATATATTTTTTTCCCTCAAAATACAGGAGCAATATGGTTTTACTGTCCAAGTATATGGATCAGATATGGATCAGCAGTGTATCTTCTCATCTGACTTGCATTTAGAGAAACAGAGACACTTCTGTTTTCTCATTTAGGGAATTAACTACTCTTTGTATTGTAGCTCCATAAAAGAGCTTTTCAAATGTTCCTGTCCTACAAAAGATGCATTGTCTGTTTTGTTACCATACTTTATAGAAACAGTGTAATTGAGCGCTTTTCTGTTTCTTTGTTGCTTGGTATTTAGGCTGAAGAGCATGACAGATGGGCAGTGCATTTTGATTCTTTAAAGAACCACCTTAATGCTAGTGCAAAACACCCCTTAAATGGAATGTACAAAAAGCAGCCTGAAAGTCTTTGCCTGTCACCAGATCCTAAGGAGCTGACTGCTGTTATTCACCCTTCTTCACCTGCAGCTTCAGACAGTCTCCTGCCTTTAAAGGCGGGAAATGCAGAAAAAACTGCTAAAAGCAGTGCCTTGGAACGCAATCAGAAAGCCAGGTGAGTGAGCTTTGTCAGGATAATCATCCTCCCAGCCAGAATATTTCTGATTCCTCCTCAGAAATTTAAAAAGGAAAATTAAATAAATTCTTTAAATCTGATATTTGGATCTTACTCATCTGGCTTTTGCTTTTTTTCAGAAATACCTGGTATTTCACTTTTGGAAAACACAAGTATTTCCATTGTTCAGTAGTGAAATTTACTGCAAATAACTGAACTTTCTTCTTTAGTAAAATGAATTTCATAAATATGAATTAATGGGATAACTTCAATATTAAAATATTACTTGAAAACTAACTGTTTCTAATTAAGAAAGTCTTTACACTTATTTTCTGATGACTAAAAGCACCTACATGTTTCTTTGTTCATAGTTTCCTCCGTTCAATGACAGCTCTCCTGGACCCTGCTCAGATTGAAGAGAGAGACAGGTGGCGGCAGAAGCAGCTAGAACATCAGGTAAACTTTTGTTTTTAAGTCTAACGCTATTCTAATGAGAAGAAAGAATGAAAGACAGTGTTGTCTCATGAATAAAGCATGAGGTTTAATACCAAAACCCAGCGAAGCATTCTTACACTTCAGATTACATATTTACAGTTGTTTCATGGTAATACATCCAGTTAGACTCTGCTGGTTGCTTTTAATATTTGTACAGAGATGATGGCATTTCTGTAACTGAATTCTTGCCTCAAAAAAGGTGCCATGCAGTTTCCACTGTCATCAGGAGAGCTGATATTTACCAATACTCACTCCATGAATCTCTAAATTTTTATCTACAGTCATTCACATTACATCTGTGGCAGTCCAGCTAAACGTGTGTCTGCATGATGATGTCTCAGTCTAAAGAAGTCTTAGTATAAATGTAATGGTTGAACTGTTACTCTGCTAGATCAAAATATTTCTTATAGTACCTAAGGGAAAAATTAGACCATTGTTTCTCTGCAAGAAAAATAAAAGCATTTTTTAAAACATAGGAAGAGGGCATCTACCTGCCTTATGAGAAATTAGAAGAAACAAAAAGTGTTTGAAATAACTGTTCTTGATTTTTTTTATTAGCTTTTGATGCCTTAATATTGTATCTTTTAATTTTCTTCTTTTTTCCCTGATGCTACTAGAAAGCAATAATGGCTCAGGTAGAAGAAAACCGGAAGAAGAAACAACTGGAGGAAGAACAGAGAAAATGGGAAGAACAAGAGGATGAACTGCGCTTAGCACGTGAAAAAGAACAAATGCAGAAACAGTTTGAAGAAGATATGCTGAAACAAAAACAAAAGGAGGTGGGGCTTTGCTTTTTCTTTAGTGCAGGCAGTCTAATAATGGGGTTTGAGAAAAATGCTTCCTGTTCTTCACCTTCCAAATTTTCATCTCATTGTTTTGAAAATTAAAACTCAGAAATTCAGACATTTGAAATCAAAATCTGTTTCCTCAGTTAATAACAGCACGCAGGTTTTAAGGTGAGCCTCTTTTTTTTTTCAGACAGGGGTCTTTTCAGGAAGAGAAATAATAACTAGCAAAAATGGAATTGTCATTTGAAATAATGCAGAAACATGCATTTCAAAATGCAAATATTAAATAAGAAAACCCTCAGAGTATGTGATCCAGTTATTGTTGTTGGTAACTCAGTGCTTTTAAGATGCTTCAGTACCATGAAATTTCTCACTGGATGTGCTTTCACTCTGCATTAAGTATATTTATGTTCCAGAGCTTTGTCCTTTAACTATTGCTGAGCTTTACATACTCCTTTCCTATAAAAGTTAAACCAAAAGTTCTAAGTGCAGATTTTGCATTTCTATACATTCTTACCTTAGTAGAAGGTTAAAAGCCTTGTCTGATGCTTTATTCATCCTTTTGGCACAGTAGCAGCTATTATGGTTTGCTTCATATTTGGAACAGTAGCAGATTCCATCTTATAAGACAAGGTGATTCCAACACACCCCCTTGTCTAAAACCTGCAGAAATACAGATCCGTGATTTCTCTGAGTTTTTATATGGAAACATAGCATCTGCCTTTAGATTCTAGAACAAAACTGGTACAAAATGGGAAAAGCCATCTTTCTCTGTAATAGCGCAGCTCTGAAAATACATTATGCTTCCACCTGCAAATGCAATAGGAAGTAGGGATGAGAGAGCAATAGGGGTTTGGACAGGAGATTTTCCTTGTCCCAGTCTCCTGCACCTGGAAACTGTCACCCTCATGTTTAGAGATGTTCTGCCTTTAGGAGAAGGATGGGTTTTAAATTATTATTTACACTTCTTTTATTTGGCACAATGATCTAGGAAGTCAGAAGTGGCTGAAAACAGGCAGAATTTGGGAGAAGATGAAGTTACTGGAAAGGAGATAAATATCCAAATAAGTTTGAGGATTTAAGTGCTTGCTTTTTAATGCTAGGATCGAACACTTTTCATTAGCACAGCAGAGGTTCTGAATATATCCTTATAGTCATAAAAGTTCTATGTTACACATTGCATCCACTCAACTAGTTCTGGTTTTGTTTGCTTCAAAAAAAGCTTTACCCAAAATAAGAAGATTACATGGGGAGTAAATAATCCTATTAATTTTATTCTCAAAATAAATGATCACATATTTTTACCACTTTTTTTTAAAGGAACTTGTGACTCTTAAGAGAAATGAGCTCTATCAGACAACGCAGAAAGCTCAAGAATTAGCACAGAAATTAAAACAAGAGCAGCGCATTCAAGACTTGGCTCAGAAGGGACATGACATTTCAAAACTTCAGAAGAATCTTGGTGCTGGCAAGTACAAGTCTTTTCATACTCATTTTTCTCATTCTTTTGGTGTTTGTGTGCAAGTCATTTGTGGGTTTGCTTTGTTGTTTTTTTTTTTTTACCTGTCTGCATTTGGGACAGAAATAGCAGCTTTTCTTCATGGACCAGACTTCATTTCAGTTTACTTATTTCCAAATACCAGTGTTAACTGATATGCAGAACATCATTGTATTTCAGTAAGCATCAAATGCTATATTGCATTAAGGAAGAAATACAAAGATACTACCAGGAGTGTATAGGGAATATTCAAGTCCTATGTGCTGTCAATTAGATTTCCAGTGAAAAAGGAACAGTATTAGAATCTGAACCATAGTTCTCAGTCTTTCTTTGAGTTCTAAACCACAGCAGTCTGATACCTTGATAGCATGGTTTAAATGGAACATACATGACTAAATTGAACAATTCTGCTTCTTTTTAGGTGGTACAGAATTTGAAAATTGTAATACTGGTATTTCACATCAAAGTCATAATTTTTCTGATGACATTAAGAGTCACATTGATCAGCAGGCTTCTCCTCGGAAAGATACTGCTGTACAGACAGGTATGCAGCCTTTAAATTCAATTACTTCAGTGCACCTCAAGAAGGACAGTAGAATAGCACATTTGTGAAACTGAGCCAAATCACTGTCATTCAGAATGGAGTAAAACTAGAGGAAATATTTGGACAGACACAGACAAGTTGGTATATTACAGTATATCATTGTATTCTTTAAATAAATTATAGATCTATAAAGTTGTTACTTACCAGTTACAGAGTCAAATCATGCAGTCTGAAATACAGTGTTGAGCGAGTCATGGTCACAAGCCATGTGGGACTAAATTTACTAAGGCATTTAAACACCGATTTGTAGTCTTCAGTGTGAATGTTCACAGGTTTGATATGGAGCAGGGCTGGGTTCCTCATGAATCCTTGAAAATATTGTCAGCAGCATTGTCAGTAATTCTGGAGTTACAAAACCAGGCTCCTTAGAAAATGAGAACTTACATTCAGATGTTTAGAAAAGCTTTCTACAATTCTTCCTAAATACCCTGGCAGGTAGACTACTTCACAGTCTTTATCTTGATTGTGTACCACACCCTTAAAAACCCAGCTCAAACTTAGTCAGCATTTATTAATGTTGTAGGTGAGGTGTAAATGAGCACATTCAGTGCTAACTTACAGTTGCTTTATGCCTTGTATTTAGAAATGTATCAGCTTATCACATGTGAACTAGAGGTTTTATTTCTGTTTGCTTAAGCAATAGTATTTTGGGTTTTGACAGTGCTGGTAAAAATTTTACTCTGAATTTGGAGAGTTTACAAATCAAATAATGCTTCTGTTGATGCCCCTTAGTAAAGAAAGCTGGATTATTAATAATTTAAGAATGGAACAAACTACCTCCATTAGAACACAAGGATTGGGAAAGTCAGTTATTCTCAATAGCACTCTGAATATGACCAAACCATCGCCTTGCTGAAAAACTAATCAGAAGCTGTGCTTGCTCTTTACCTTTGGGTACAATGATGGAAATAAATAGAATTCTGCATTTTAAAATAATGTAGTTTAAATAGATTTTGCTTTACACTGGCTTGATTTTGTACTCCAATTTACTTCCCCCCCCACACCTCCTTACTGAGTTTGCTTCTACTGGTCCCATCTATCTTCCACAGTAAGAAGAATAAAAAACATTATAAAACTGTAACAACCAATTTTTGAATAAAATGGTAGATTCAGATACATGCACAAGTCATGTATCATGTCATTCACATAGCTTAAACTTAGAGTTAAAATCTAATTTATTATTTTTTGTAGATTACTTTAACACTTCAGCATACACTGAGTCAGCTGAGGAAAGAACTGTGTGTTGTGGATCACCTGATATTTCCATAGAATATAAAGAAACCTCTAACAGTAAAAAATACCAGAAGGAAACGCAGTATATAGATAAAAATTCAGGAAAAGAGACTGGTGGCATTTACAGTGATCTGTATGAACAATATGCAAGAAAAGAAAGACAAATTAAACCTTCAGAAAAATACAACAAAAGACCTGACTGGAACATAAACAAGCCTGGGAAAAGATACATTCCAGCATCAGAAAGATACCCTAAACAGCTACAGAAACAAAGGGAAGAAAACAAAGTAAGACGACAAATGGAGCTGCTTCAGCTGGTGGAAAGAAACAACCCATGGAATCTCTGCCCCAAAAAAACAGACAGGTCATCTTCACCTCACAGAGAAATAAATACAAGGACTAAGGGACACAGAGGCAGAAAGGTAACTATGTGGGCTTTAACACTCATGTTCCATATGGTTTTGCCTGTATGGGAATTCAGTTCTGTAACTCAAGCACTGAGGATTTCCTATCACTATCCTTTATCCTTTGTGTGAAGAATGGTATTACAGTGTTGTTTCCTTCATCACAATCAGAAGAATGTATTCAGATTTTGTGACGTAGCTTTTACTGTTATTTCAGTCTTCCAAAGTGTTGATTCTCCCATTTATTCCTTGCCATTGATTCGTTATGTAAACAAGGAGCCTGATTGAAAGCAGTGTGCAGATAGAGTTACTTGATGACGAGACTTTTTACTTCCACAAAAGAGTAAGCATTACCAAGGATGTAACTCTGTTGTCTTAGATATGCATCCTTCTTAGTGGAGTAATTTCTTACCCATTTGCAGTAAAAGCACGTTGGTATAGCTTGTGCCTGGGGGAAAAAAAAACACAATTTTCATTTAAAGCAAATATTCTAGAATATATCCATACCTTCTCTCTCTCCCTGCCCCTCATTGCTCACCCTCTCTACCTAAACATATGTGCACATAAGCACCTGTCTCACAACCTCCAACAGAAAAAATCTGGCCACTTCAGTTCTGTTTAACCATTTGTTTACTGTGCTTGCACACACATATTTTAGAAGCTGTGTGTATTTCAAAAAAAACAAGGTGAAGATCCAGAACTGTTCACAGATGCCTTTAAAGAACTACTGATTTATTAAACTGAGTTGGATGGTTTGAGGTTAGTGGTCAGAGTTCCATGCTTATGTGATTGAGAGGTAAATGTTCAAGAAATTTGTACCAAGAAATAAGGCATTTTAAGCAGAGTTTTACAATAAAGCATTGTTTGATACCTTAAGAACCATGGGATATGTTAACATTTCATTTAAATAGATTTCACTTCTAGATACTGATGTATCTAGAACCAGGACCTTTCCTTTAATAAGCATGATCTCAGACTGAACCTTTCAGGCTTACACAAATGCAAGGTAATTGGAAAATATAGAGAACATTTTTGATAGTGCTTAATGCTGCCATAGACCCACAAAATTGGCACCAATCCTCCTGTCATTTGTTTAATTCAGTTCATAGACGCTATGAGTCTCTTTGATAAATGTCTTTTTCCTGAACCCAGTCAAACAGTCCTTTTCAAACTTCAGAACAAACTTGTCCTGAAAACCGAAAGCTTTTAATATACAAGCCATTGAGCTTTTTATTTTACCATTTACTTTCTTGCTTTTCTCCTAGGAAGAACAATTACATAAGAATCATGTGAATGAAGAAAGGTATGTCGATACACTGCATCACTTACACGTGTAACTACACTAACATGAAATACACAGGCTTTTCTGCCTGAGCTTTATTTATCAAAAATAGTAATTTAGATGCACTTGAATGTCTATTATGAAAAACACACAAGACCAGACAAACTGCAGGTATGAAAGCAGAGTAAATGGGCACAGGTCCAGTCCTCTGAGGATTCTCTGTCTCTGCCTTTTTGAGAAGATTGTTAATTATGTATTATTTGTTTTTTTTTAACTAAAATTGTTTCATACAGGTCTGAGTCACCACCTGCTCCAGGAGTTAAGAACCGATTACACCAAATGCAACAAAAACAGACACAGGTTTCTAATTTCTTGGTGCATAACAACAGTAGTAGAAGAGAGAAAAATACCAAGCCAGATCCCCAGCAGAGGAGCTCCTCTCCTCCCATTACAGAAGCTGGAAGACCTCCCTCTTCGCAGTTTATTCCATATGTTCGAACAAATGAAGTATATTATCTTGATCCAGATGCACCAGTGACTAGACCTTCAACACATGACCCACAGTATCGACAGTTCAATGGTACTGAAATGTATTGTGAACCGATTCATGTAGAAGAGAAGCAGTGTTACAGTGATTTAGAACCGAGTGCTGTGGTTTATACTATTTGGTATTTGTTTTTACTGAATTTTGCTGTAGCCCATGTGTGTCAGAACGTGCAGAAAGCCTTTGCAAATAGATGATGCTCTGCATTTAGAACACAAAAACAAAACAGAAAAAGTAAAAATCAGAAAAGCAACAATATTTCTTATCCTTTTATTTGTCTTTTTTGTCTGTTTACCTTTAATGAGGTGCAGCTGCATTTCTCAGGTATTGCGTATTGATTTGCGTTTAGCAATCTATGTGTTTGTAACCCGAGAGCAACCAAAACCTCATTTTCACAAGCCGTGACAATCTACTGCTTCAGTATTAAACAAAAAACGATAGTATTGTTAACTGATTTGATCTATATTTACTTTCAGATTCTTGCCAAATGCCAAGGCAGATTCTTAGCTCTGATCATGTGAGATATCCTCTTCTAAATCCTGATGCAGTTAGAGAGAGACAACAAGCAATTCTCAAAGGATTGTCAGAATTACGACAGGTAAGCAAACTGTTACTGGATAAAAGTGTGTATTTATACATTAAAAGTCAAGATGAATGTTGCAAACTATAGTTAGAAGCATTAGCCTTTAATTAATTCTTTCATCATACATGATTAAGGTTTGGGCCCTCTCCTCTACGCTTTTGTTCCCTCTCACTAATTTTGCTTTTCATGCAATACTTTCACATTTGGAGTGTCATCCAGAGGGACTATGGACTCTTTAGTCCTTAGATGAGCTATGAAACTGAGGAATACCTGAGAAAACTTGAAGCCAAGAGGAATGGCTTCATTTAATCTCCAGGTTTTGATCATTAGGGTTGCTTATAATAAGAATGTTTCAATTTCAAGGGGAAAAAGAATCGTGTTCTAGCAAAACACTAGAACTCTTGTTAATGAAATTTCACTTCTGCTTTTCATGGGTGAGCCCAAAAGCTGGTAACCATGAAGTTATATATTTTCCTGATTGGAGTCAGAGTGCCAGGAAAAAAATTCAGGCATCTCACTATTAAAACATGAGTGAATTTGATACTTTACCTGTTGGCAACAAGATGCAGCCCATGACAGATTAAAGCTGTTGGTCTGAACAATCGCTGAACAGCTTCCTTTTATGCTTCTAAGTGTCCTGACAGGGGACTGCAAGACAAAACACATTCACTTTTAGGTTTGCATTTTGTTCTTGTAGAACACTAAAGATAAACATGTATCAGTATCATCCTGGTTTTTGAAAGGCTCCGTACTAAAAGTACTTTGTTACTAGCAGCACTAGTAATACCAAATAAAGAGAAGACAATTTGATAGCCTTAAGTACAAAAAAGGTACCAATAGTTAATGCTATTAATTACCTGCTATGCTTTAGAAAGACACAAGTTCTGCCCCACATACACTGTGCTATGGGAGTAGATGAATTCCTTGTGCAAGCAAAAATGGTCATGGGTCTTTCCAAGATATTAAGAGAAGTTGCAACCCAGGAAGACTGAAAGGTTGCCAGTTTCTAATGTCTTCCAAATGGGTTTCACTGGGTCTGGTCTTCCCCAGTGCTCATTAATATTTTTGTTAAGTATCTGCAGCTGTTCAGTATTTTGTATTCAGGCTTCATTTCTCAGTGGTATTTTGGTTAAGAGTAAAGTGAAGCCACCTTCAAAGCAGAGTTTGATCCTTGCACTTGCTGAGGAGCAAAAATCAAAAGCTGTTGATATTTAAAGTTATTTAAAATTATTTAAAGTTATTTAAAAATTACTGATATTTAAAGAGGTTTAAGGTGATAATATCCACTTTGGCAAACTTAGGAGGCAGGCACTTAGGGACAGTTCTGATGCGTAGTGTATATTGAGGTCTTAACAGTAGCTAAGATTAGTCTTTCAGTGGGCCTTGGCTCTGGGAGAGATTTAACTGAAAACATGTCAAGTTCTTTTTTAAATGTCCTACCAGCTGCAGAATGCACGTAGGACTTTGTCAGCTGCTGAAGTTGGGTGCGCACTCCTACAGATGGCACCAGTTTAGCATCAGTTACTCCACTTTGCAAAAAGCAAAGATTACATTTCTAGTTCAGAAGATAATCGTCTTGTTTATAAAATTTTTATATAGATGCATATATTGGATTGATCGTTTCAGAATATGCAAATATTCACAACACAGTCAGCCATTCTTTAGTCTTCATATTTGACCAGTCTTTAGCCTCTGAAATCCATGCCCAGTTACAGTCAGTACATACCAGAGCATCTCCATTTTGAAACCACTTGCCAGCAGATTGTAGCCTACAGTGACTAGGCCAAGTGCCAGCCACCACCAGGCTGTCCACAGACAGGCAAAGAAAGACCTTGTGACTTGTCCCTATGGAAGCATTTCAGATTACTTGTGTCTAGGCCCTTTTTATTACCTTTGCAAACCACATGACAGACTTTGTTCCACTTCTCAATGTTACTTTTTTATCCCCTCAGCTCTGTGTTGATTTAGGGCGCTTTACTGCACGACTTCATTTTGGAACATGCTGTAACAACCTAAATGCAAAACCACTCCATAATAACAGTAATCATTGATAAAGGGACTGCAGAAGTCAGTCAGGGTTTAGTACTTACGAGAGCCATTAGCAAAGCAGGAACCTTTTACCTTTTGAAAGTAAGTGTGTGTATCCTTAACTGTCTGCCACAGTTCTAACTCAAATGGCAATGCCAACCTTTAGCTTAGAGTATAATTTACATTAAGACTAAAAGCTGGTACCAGAACAGGCTGGAATGCTACAGCTGTAAGTGACAATGCACAGGGGAGTTAAGAAAGTTAAATTTAATACAGTGGAAAAGTCACCTCTGGAAACTGGACTGGGTCCTACTTCTGCTACACATCGAATCTTTTGCAGAACATGGGCTAACCTCAGATTCCCTCTCTACTGAATGCGTTACCATTGTACTGCTTTTATTTGTCTATTTAAAAAGCATTAACGCTTTCACAATTAAACTGTTTTAACAATAACAAGCAGTGACATGTTACTTCTTTGGGCTGCATGAGGAAGACAGAACATTCACACTAATACTCTTATTTCAGGGCCTTTTGCAAAAGCAGAAGGAGTTGGAGACTGCTCTGATGCCCAGCATGGCTCAGGAAGAGAACTTTATTTCACCGTTTTGACAGGTATTTGGGAATGTTCTGGCTTCTTAAAATGGCAATGCACAGCACTTTGTCTGCTACTGTAATTAATTATGAACCATCTTTACCTTTTTAATAAAACATTTAAATTATGTGTATTTTGATAGATCACAGCATCATGTTGCTTTTCATATTGAAGATGCACTAAATTAATGATGGTATGTCTGTTTAGAATGGTCTTTGTGCTGTCTGAAGATGTGTCCATTTAATATAAGCCATCAAAACAGTACAAAATGTTAAATGTGGGGTTTTTTTAGAATGTGCTGGATGCATTTTGATAAATAAAAACATTAAGCTGTACTCTGAATGTCTTGGGTAGACTGGGTTGTTATTTTTAACTGTGTGAAACAGCTTGTACTTAACTGTTCAGTCACCTTTTAGGCATAGACAATGTGTGTTAACTCCAGTAATTCCAGGATTTAAGCCTACAGAAGTGCTGACTCTAAACGTTTCCCCCTTCTCAATTAAACCAGGATAAGAGAATACTGCAATGGGCTGGGCCCAAGGCAGTGGAACTCAGTTTAAGGAAGTCTTCTCGTAAACAGGGTCTGCAGGGATCAATATTCAGCGCTTCCAGCCAGAATTGTTCATTTCAGATGAGTTTGCTTTTAGTCTTCACAGGATAACCTGGGGGGAACTTCTCTCTCTTCCAGATCTCTGCAGAAGATGCATAGCCTGAGTCTGTGGTAGTGGTTCTATGACCTAATGTGGTAAATGCCACAGAACCTCCAGCCTGAGGATCTTCCCTGCAGCCGCTGTTGGTAGCCACAGCCGGACCCTGAAGCCACCTCACAGCAGTGAAGGAAAGAGAGGCTCTCAGGGATGTGCCCCCATCATGCAGGTGGCAAGACTCTGTGCTCTGCACTGTGGGTGGACAGCAGTTCTTCACAAGAGCCATTGAGGTCTATTGATACAGGGGAGTTTTTAATTTGATAATGCATTTGCCATGGTTGTGGGAGGGTGACAGCTCCTACCCCAGCCTAGGACTGGCTTGTTCTTGATTTAAACAAACCACACAACTGCTAATAGAAGATTTTCAAATTTAAGGATGTCTATGGGGTTTGTTTTTTTTTAAAGCTACCCTTTTTTAACCTGTAGTATTTGTCCCAGGTAACCTTCAGAGTCATGTAGTTTCCATCACTGTCATCTGGTATTAAAACACACATCCTTTATAAACACACTAAAATAAATTACAAACAGGAAAAAAACAACCAACCAAACCAACTTGAAGCCAAGAGCAATGAGTATAGGAGCAGAGGATGAGTACCCACAAAGCTAGCAGTGTCAGAGCAAGGGTCCTCTTAAGACTCCACATCTACTGCCAGCAGCTGCCATTTTCCAGAAGCTGACTCGGAAAATGAGGTATGAAATAAGACAATGAGAAAGAAACACTGGGAAAAATATGTTATAATTCAGCATTTCATACGAAATTAAAAAGAATTTGATAAAACTCTACTAACACCACAATGCCAGTTTAAAGAGTAACAAAAACCGAGGAAAGCCCCAGTAATCATTACTGAAGGGGGAGAGGATGGAGGTTTCTCAAATGCAGACTGAACTACCAGAGTCATTAAAGCAGGTCTGTACAGAAATTACAACGGTAAGATAAAGGTTGTGAGATGGCTCTGATGGTGCTGCAGTAAGCATAGAGCAGCCACAGTAGACATGAGGATAATCACTATTCCTCAAAGTTTGGATGTGTTTCTCACAGGCTCTGAAATGAATATAAAAACCACGAACAAGGCAACGTGTTAGCAAGTCCCTTGTGCATTAAGAGTTTATTTTATTTTGTAATAGAACTGCACCATTGGTTACTGTGATTGAGGTATTTAGCCAAGATCCAGTCTCTAGTCATTAAACTAACTACACTGACTTAGAGTCACGTAAAAACATTTGTACAAAATTTGTCTCAAATAAATACATAAGTTTTGATATTTATGAAAAAAATGTGAGTTGGATACTCTTACAGTAAAAAAAAAAAGAAACAAAAAACAAACCTCACTGTTTCACATATTTTAGGCAAACATTCAGTTTTACAATTAAACACACCCTCAAAAACTGAAGCCCAGGTACAGGCCAAATACAAATGTAGAAACTTAAAAGTGCCAACAAAGAAGGTAATTCAAGTACAATAATGTTAGGAAATATATATATTTATTTCAATCTTCAGATGATTCCAACAGGTACAGGCCCTCAGGCTTTAAATAAGACAAGAAAACATTTGAGATCAAGAACAAGAAACGTTTTGTTCCAGAATAAAATAGAAATTGTTAACCCACCATTTTAGAAACAGAAAAGTCCACAGCAACTTACAAAAAGAGACTTGGGATTTTATTTCTGGGTTGATTATGACCTAGAAGAATCACAACTTGCGTCCCAGCCACCAGGCGATGATGACTTTTCTGTATCCACACTCTGACTGTACGCAGATAGAAAATAGTTGCCCCCTTCTTGGTTTTGATTTGCAGATGAGATTGGGTATGTTCTCAGAAAAGTCTGATGAGTGAGAACATTAAAGTGGCTGAACTGGTGGGACATGTTTAACTGTGTGCTGTAAACCTGGAAATTACGGAAGGGAGCTTGTTCAGCTGAACTGTGGTTTTCTCCTTCAGTAGAGCATGTTGTAGAAACTGGAGTTATTGGCTGTACCTCTTCCAAGTCAATTTTAGAAGTCTTTTCCAACAGGGCAGTTGGTGCTGCAGGAGGTAACTCTGTAACTGTCAGACTGCTTTCTCTGCAGTCTGAACCCTTGGCCTCTGCCTGCACAGTTTCCACATGATGAACATCACTGCAGATTTCTATTTGTGCTGTTTCATCCCCTGAATCCAGAGACATGTCCTCCTCATCCTTTACATCGTTTTCTACATTTTCTAGATTAGAAGACAGAGAAAGTTCTATTCTATTGGAATACACACTTTCGTTGGAAAAGCTATACACTACTCACAAAGTGTTATGCTTCAGGTCTGCCAAGTCCAGTATCACTTATGTCTTGGTCTTCTGCCACTCAACACACACACGTAACCCTCTGTGTGACTGTCCAGTTATTCTGATGCTAAAGCTTCTGCGCACTGTGTTCATGCTTAGTGTTGGGAAATCCCAACTCCCAGTTCCAAGGGGGTTAATGTCAAACCAGCATCTAAAGTTACAGCAGGTGAGTATTTAATCAGTCAGTTAAAGAAATACAATTACTAACAGCTCAGTTTCAAGTCCATTCCTCTCCTGAGAACAGAGGTTACACCACTCTCTACTTTCTCAAGCACCCTGCTATGTAGGCTAGGAGCTATGTGTAACATCTACTCTGGTGCTCCAGCCACACTGCTTTTCCCCCATCATTAGACTAGAAAAAAGAGTAGCTGTGAGTTGGGGTTTCCTTGCCAGGGGCAGTGTTCATTACAAGTGTACAGGCACCCTGTCCCCAGGCCCTCCACCCCACACCATCTAACTCAGTAAATAGCCTTAAATGTGTTCCATATTACCTGATTGGGTTCTGTGAGCATCAGCAGGAGGAAGGCTGTTCTCCTCAGTGACTGAG